TGGAAGTGGTTTTCCAAAGCTCCTCTGGAGGCTGCAGTACTACTTCAACCACTATTATACATTACTAGCTGTTAGTCTTTGAAATCATGGTCAGGCCTGTCCATACAAGTCAGCTTTGAAAGCTTGGAGAACCTTCAATTGTAATAAGTTGTCACTGGTGTTTCTTCGTCTCTTGAACCCTGCTTGGCTTGAGTTGAAAAGGTTCGTTCCCTGAGGTAATACTGGGCACAGTATGTGATGATTTTAACAGCTTTCTTAGGCAGCTTGACAGGCTAATAGGCAGGTAATTGCTAGGGTCACAATTGCTTTTGCTTGGACCTGTGTGACCACAGGTAATTTTTATCATCTCCAGAAATGACCCAGTAATGTCTTTATGAATGTTCCAGTCGATCAGATTCATCAACTTGTCAGATGCTTTGCCATGTTTAAAATTGATGATGCTTCCTCTCCTTGGCTTTCTGTTACATTATCTTTATTCTTAATTGCAGTCTGCTCTAGCAGTCTACTGGTTGAATATTGTTAGTTTTCTGTGCATTCTATTCTCTGTTAGTTGAAGGGTCTGTGTTCAGAGATTGGCTGACTTTGCATGAATGCATCCATCTTCTTCCTTCCATTGTTGAATTCCTTGTCATTTAGTCTTGTATGGACAGTGCAGCAGTGATCTTTTAAGAATTCATCTTTCTCGGAGTCTTTCTCTACACTATAGCCCTTCCAACCTTTTCTCATCTTCATCTTTGTAGACTTCCCTGGCATGGAGAAATGGAAGCAACGTCCTGGTAGTGAGTTCATATTGTCTCTGTCTCTTGAATGGAAACCTTGCACTTTAGAAATTTCAGCGGTTTTGATATGTACACCAGGCCCCCAGCTCCTGAAAATTAGAAATCCATACTCCCCCCAGATTTAAATGCTGCCATTATTATAATACACCACATTTTGAATTCTGAAGAATGGTTGCTAGACTTGAAAGGTTAATACTGATTTGCCTCTACAGATGCTGCCAGACCTGCTGAGTTTCTGTAGCAATTTCTTTTTTTGCTTGTTCCAAATGTAGTTAGTTTTTGTGTGAAGAAAAATTAACTAACACAGGTCATAAACTAGATTTTAGAGAATTTTCATTTTTAACACCATTTAGATAAGTAATCATAAGCTTTTCTCAAATTTCTTGTTCATTTATTTATTTTTCACTAAGTTTGCTGTAGCCCTATTATTGGCTAGGAATCATCTTTTCTTTGATTGTTATGTGTGTACTCATGAGATGACAGAAACAATATCTCAAAGATACCATGCAGTTACCATGCTCATGTCTGTACTTCACTGGGTCCTCATACTTAATTGGTTGCTTTCTGCTCCAACACTGCATCTTTGAAGCATCAGAAAACAAAGGCATTAATTGTTCAACTAACATTAGCTAATTGTCCAAGAAAGAGAGGATGAGTTTGAACTTCAGTGAGGATGCAAAGCAGCTGCTTATGAATGGCTCGTGCTTTGTGGATCTGACTGATTTTTCCTTCCTCTGAAATTGAATTTGATCCCAGAGACTCTTTTTAACATTTAAACTGGCTACTTTCCTACCAAAAAATAAAATCATCTTTCATGTCTCAGCAAGTTTCTGTTTTACTCAGTTGCCAATGATTCCTCCTCCTCTGCTCCCTTCATGTATCATTTTCTGACAAGGTGGTTTGTCATTCCATTTCTCTGAAAGCACGATGTGTACTGGAAGGCACATGAAGTAGAACATTTGGGTAGGTTTGCCCTTGCTATGCCTCCTGCAGTATAATTCTCAATCCAGACAATGAACTTAACATAAGAAAGAATATTCACATTCTGTTCTCCTAGTCTGTAGCTAAGCAGACAACTAAATCATCAGTCAATACAGTGTGGAGCTGGAGAAACACAGCAGGTCAGGCAGCAACAGAGGAGCAGGAAAGTCAACATTTCGAGTTTACATAGCCTGTGTGGCTGTCCCATTGCAGGGGAGATTGTGATGACTCAGTACAACTTATTTTCCATGTTATTCCTTGGAGGAATGTTTTAAAAAATTAGAAGCGTGTTTGTGGATGGTTTTGCAGATATGAACTCAGGAATTTAGCCAAAGAAAATTTTGAAAGAAAGAGATCTTGAAGAGCAGGCCTTTGATATGACTTTTTTGAAGTTAAGAAAGATTGTATCCTCAGAACAACAAATATATGAAACTTGGCAGGGCGGCATGTTTCAAATTTAGAAGATTCACGAGTTCCCATTAACATTCACGAAATACGCAAAGATATTAACAAACTGTTGAGGACATGAGTGCAAGGAACTGATAAGGACATTAGGTCAGAGTCTAGAGTTAATGGGCCTGATTTAGATGCTATATTACTGCAGGCAAAAGCACAACAATAATATATATTTGAAAAAGAAAAAGAATCACAGTGCTATGGAGAAAAATCAGGAGAGTGAAACTAATTAGATAGTTCGAAGAGGAGATATAGGCATGATGGGCTGAAAGGCTTTCTTCAGTGCTGTGAGACTGTCTTCAGTTGCCTGTGTTATGAAAACTATATTGCAAAACAGAGTGCAACTTTTCAGGACCTTTCATTACATAGTTAAAATATGTGCTAATTCGTCTAATAAAATATAGTGTTGCTGGAATCCAGAATTTGCATATCTCTGATTGGTAACAGGTCATCCTGGCAGTAAACTGCACACAGTATGTCAAACTTATTAGTAAACCGTTAAGCTGCTGCTCTGGGATTTTGTGCAGAAAATCCACTCAGTGTTGTTAGATATCCTTACATGAACAAGTGAACTTGAATACATTACAGCATGTTGACAATTACGCCATCACTAACACCATTGATTACTCGTCGGAAGCTTTTTTTTGTGTCACCTACATCTTATTTAGCGACAGAAATCAATTGCATTAATATGGGCCATTGGCCTGATTCATGGCTTGTAGCTACATAAAGCATTTGTAAGGTTTTACTAATAGCCTGCGCTGACATATATTTTCTTTCTTTTATTATATCTGAATGTAGTGCCACAAGAAGGAGTATATGTATCCAATCCATATCCATTGACAACATCAAACTCTACGACATCCACCGAGCGATAAAGATGATTTATACACAAGTTGGTTCAAAACCTCCACCCACCCCCACACCTGTTCTTGATATTTAGCCTTCTGCTCTTTTCACCTTATTTTGCTGTTGTAATGTTGCTTGATCATGGTGGTGTGATATGGAGTGAGTGCTATGTAGATGTCTGCATACATGTTCTCTGCAGACTGCCTGCTGTTCAACAAGTGGCCAATAATAGATTCGCTCATGTGGCAGGGTATCTTTTTCTGATGAAATACTTCGCTATTTTTAGCCTGTTTGGAGAAACCTACCATTGCAATGTTCTTCATCGAGCTGTTCTCCAAATATCTGCGGAAAGTCAGTTTGTTTCCTGTAACATTTTTTCAGACCTTTCGATCTTTTTCTGAAAAATTCAGGTCAGTCTG